CATTCCCAACTTTGCTCTTCTTATTAGAACTTAGTGATGAGAACTGCTGGGACCAGTCTTAAGTGAACACAAAAGCAATGTGACAATGGGAGCTCTCAGAAGGTCTAGGCAGCAACACTCAACAGATGGGGAATATCTCATGGAAAAATATGTTTCTTTTAATCACTCTAATAGAGCAAATTAGCCCCAGATGCAAAGGCAATATTCCAATCCATTCCTGGATGTCAAAAAAAAAAAATCTCTGAGTAAAAGCATGGCACAATGCACCATGGGGATTACTGGAAGGCTCGCAAAGATGAGAATGTCGATGTCAACTCTGTTGCCCCCACTGACCAGGCTCGCTCCTATGAAGACCACTGTGATCTTGGCTCTCCATTTCTCCGTGTTTGCTCTAAGAATCTTAACCAGTCGTCCCATCAAAGTTCTATGAGAATTTAAAGTCACTGAGATGTTTTAAAATCTAAGTGATCTTTTAGTAACAGGAAAGAAGAGCATTTCCCAAAGTTATTTGCATTTTTTTAGAAAAAAACAAACAAACACAAACTACAGATCATAATAGAGAATCCAAAATACCCATCTCCTTTTTCAGAGTAGCTCCTTCAGAGGCCTGAGCCAAACTCTGCAAGTGAGAGGGTTTGGTGAGTATTAAGTCCACATAGCACACATCTCTCTCCTTAAGGGCATCCACAAATCAGCGATTTAATGCTATACTCAACCATCAAAGGACACCAGGATTGAAAAGTTGGTGGTTTTAGGAGGAGAGATACTGTCCTCTGGGGTTACATGCAGACCCGCACTGTTCTTCAACATTTTATGCCTCTGTCATGCCATAAATTTATTTTTTTTCAAGCTCTCAATAAGCTACAATATTCTGTTCATTCTACTGTCAACATGTTAAATTCAACTACCATCTATAATCTCATTATAGAATCAAATGTCTCAAAAAATAGATTATGTACAGAGAAAATATATATCATCTTAGTAAGAAGCAAATGATAATCTTTAAAATTTAGTGAACCAGAGAAAAAAGAATCATTTCTAATTAACAGTGAAAATAATTTGACCTTTCCAACATCTTGCTCCTAAAAGCACTACCAAATTAGCTTATGATTAATTATTTGACTGCTATCATAACAGGTGAGGATCAGGCCTAAAAGCTTTCCAAGCATTCAAAATATCTGTCCTCAAAGTAAAAAATAAATAAGATTTAGGTCTAGCCTAATATTTTACCCATGCTTACATCTACACGATGGAATACTATGCTGCTGTAAAAAAGAAGGAACTCTTACCATTTGCAACAGCATGGATGGAACTGGAGAGCATTATGCTAAGTGAAATAAGCCAGTCAATGAAGGAAAAATACCACATGATCTCACACATTCATGGATAATAGAGACCATTACAAACTCTTGAACAATAATAGATACAGAGGCAGAGCTGCCTCAAACAGATTGTCAAACTGCAGCGGGAAGGCTGGGGAGGGTTGGGGGGCAGGAGGGAAGGGGGTAAGAGATCAACCGAAGGACTTGTATGCATGCATATAAGCA